TCTCCGTTTGCCTCAAATTCTTGACGAAGGCAAGGACGGTACAGTAGACACAATGGCGAAAAAGAACGCGTACACGAGCGCCGTCCCAACCGTATTTTGTCAAAAAAAAATTGCTGCACCGTGATACAAACACACAAGAGACGTTCATGTAATCATCCCCTGCCCCATCTGCATAGATAGATATATTTTGCCGTCGACATCCACGCAATTTCAGGTCCACAGCTCGTTGAATCACCTGCACCTCAATTCCGCCCTTCTCCTACCGCGCCGTGCAGATTGAGCGGACTCGCGGTGGTGTCACAGAGCATGTGTCCGGTATCAACTTCCCACCTCCGGCCCCGGAGCGGCGCATACCGTGCCCTCACTGTCCCATGACCTTCGTGAACGAGCAAGGACTTGGGATCCACGTGAAAACACAGCACAGCAATGCAAACATGTCCAACGGCTTGCGGCTGCAGCGGATGCTAGGGAAGACTCCCAAAGGGTATGTTCAGCCGTGGGGAGAAGCCGGGCCTGGACGTTGTTGGCACGTGAAGGTCGATGGTGCGACGGGGGCGGCTTCGTTCGTCCTCCAACGGAAGCGCTTCCGCGATCTCGACTTGGAAAGCGACGGCTTTACGGACCGCAAAGTCAAGGAGACTCGTGGAGCTGTGAAGCGCAAGCGATACGATTTCAGGTTCAAAGCCCATGTTGTGACCCAGCTGCGCCTCCTCCAGGAAGACGCCGCAGACCTCTTCAAGGAGGAGCAGCTCACGCCTCTCCAGTACTTAGAGGACCGTCTCAAGGTTAACTACAGCCTGATCGTGAAGTGGGCTCAGGACGAGGCCAATATAGTCCAATCGGCAGCAGATGACGTGAAGCAGACCCATCTTGCCAAACAGCAGCCAAAGCGGTGGTTTCCTGAGGAAGAGAAGAAGCTGTACAATATGTTCTTGGCGCGGCGGAGGAGGAAGCTGAAGGTGTCGACCCTGTGGCTGACGGTCACGTTCCGGAAGCTCGTGCAAGAGAATCACCCTGAGGACCAACGGGCGGCGGCGTTCAGCGCGTCCTTCAGGTGGGCACGAAAATGGGCAAAGAGGCATAAGCTGTCCAAACGGCGCAGGAGCAACCTCAAGAACAAGTCTATTAAGAGCGCCTACCAAAGATCCAGCGCTTCCACCGGCGTTTTCTTTAGCTCCTGCAAGAGCCGGTACGGTACAGGGCACCCGAGGCATCGGACGTGTCGGCGATGTCGACGGTCGCGGAGGGAGAGTCCAGAGATCCCAAGTACGGTCAGTTCCAGCTCTGGGAGCGTTGGAATGTGGATCAAGTGCCTTTGCCATTCGTGAACGGGCTGATCAGCACGTGGGAGAAGATAGGCGCGTTGCGTGTAGCCATCTTGCAGCCCTTTGCTGGCCTAGAGAAAAGGCAGTGCACCATGCAAGTCATCTTTGGTCCGGGTGAGAAGACTATGCGGATTTCGGTGATTTTCCGAGGCCAGGGGAAGCGGATTTCGCCGGTGGAGAAAGCCGCGTACCACAAGGACGTGGACGTGTTTTTCCAGGAGAATGCGTGGGCGGACCAAAAGTTCTGCATGGAGTGGGCCAAGAGGTCGTACCGCGAAGGCCTGATCCGCGGGCGGGGTGAGCTCCCCAAGGCGAGGTCCATTCTGATAATGGACAACTTGCACGCGCAGACCACGGACGAGTTCAAGGGGTATCTTGCGAAGCAGTGCAACACTATCGCCTGGNGCGTTCTGCATGAAGAGGGCCAAGAGGTCGTACCGCGAAGGCCTGATCCGCGGGCGGGGTGAGCTCCCCAAGGCGAGGTCCATTCTGATAATGGACAACTTGCACGCGCAGACCACGGACGAGTTCAAGGGGTATCTTGCGAAGCAGTGCAACACTATCGCCTGGCTTGGCCCTGCGGAGTGCACGGACGAGGTGCAGCCAGTTGATGCAGGAGCCGGACGATTTCTCAAGGTGGAAGTTGGTAGCGAGATGGACAAGTGGCTCGATCAGTCGGACAACATCGAGAGGTGGGAAACCGCGTCGCTGACAGCATCTGACCGGTGCGTACTGATCACTCAATGGACGGGAGCGGCCATGGCAAAACTCAACAGCAATCAGGGGTACCGACACCGCCTTTTCGAAAAGTGCGGGATGGCGATGACCGTGGATGGCTCAGGCGATGATCGAATCACCTTGGAGGGTTTGGACCAGCCGTACACCTTCGCAAACGATGAAGACTCCAGCGAGAACGAAGGAGGTTCGGAGGACGGCAGCGATGGGCCCGAGGGGCGGGAGGAGGAGGGCGCCGGAAGGCGCGAGCCGGTCGTCGGGGATGAGCGCAACGGTGCCAACAGCGGGGAGGGCATGGAGGGCGCTGGATACAGCGATGAAGACGACGACAGTAAGTTTGATTGGCACTACATAGACTACAGTTAATTCATTGTCCTTCTTGTTCATCGTTTCTTGTGCTGTTTGGGATATTGCTGATATTCTGTTTTCGCGTCACGTCTACGAACAAATGGTGTGTTCACTTCAGTTGAGTAACGGCGATGACACCCGTACGTTCCTTCTCGTGTTTCACGGTACCCTTCGTCGCAGACATGTCTCAATCCCAGACCGACGAGCTAGCTCTTTTGGACGAGGACGACAGCATGGACCCAGACGACCCGGAGGACGAGACGCAGGGAATGGAGATCCCGGCGGGCTTTCGCCTTCAAGAACCTACCCCCGCTGCTCTCGACAGATTGCTTTTGCAACGTGGAGTGTTTGTTCGGCTGGGCATGGGGTGGTTCGGTGGGTTGATCATTCAGCAATCTCCGCAGCGCCACCTGTACGACTACTGTGTGCAGCTGGAAGTAGACCACAGTACGCGCAATATGAAGCTGCCCTTAGACAAGTACAGCGGAGATCCGGACGCGGCGGTAGGCTCATGGGTTTTGCTTGAGAGCGTCAGTAGGGCGGGAAGGGTACGCACCCCCAACGTCACTCTTGTGGACCAAGACGGTTGACAGTTGCCCCATGGGGGGGTGTTTGCGGGTATGAAACTCTGCGTCGAGTGCAGTTGAGTCGTGCACCAAGTGAGCAATCGATGATGAAATAAGCACAAAAACACCGTTTCTGGAGACAACTGGACGACGAAATAAGAACCTGGCAAATAAGAAATTGTGCTCGGCTTGGGGCAGCCAACAAGAAGCGAGCCTCGCTCCAAATAAGAGGTTCTTAAGTGCGGGCCGGTTCTGTAGACGGCAAAAAAAGACGAACCGCGCGGCGAGTTTACCGGCAACGATAAAATACAGTAAACTGCCCGCGGGTGTGGTAACCCGCCGCATCTGTGATGTTCCGGACCGTGATGGCTCTGATGTGTTGACGATGGTGTTGTGATAGCTGTTGTGATGGCGTGATAGCCTAGAGGCGTGACAGCCTGGCCGCGTGATAGCTGGTGGATGTGTAGTATGGACACGGGCGTGATAGCCCAGAGCGTGATAGCCGGGCAAAGGAAGATCAATATTCAAGGGCAGGTGGCCAACACCGTTACAGACATGTATACCCAGAAAACAACAATATGTGGCAAAGATGGTACCAACATTCCCCCAATTGATCACAACTGCGGAACCCCCAAAATTCCCCGCTCCATCTCTCAGAACGTTCCTCGGTTGCACTAATCTGTCAATGCTGTGAGTACATCCAACAGAACTAAAGATTGCGTGTTCAACTCACAGACCGTTGAAAACCGAACGAACTACCTCCTGGGGGGGACCTAACGGTTGCATGTGACTGGCCTCGAAAACGAAGAGTGACTCATCGAAAAGGTCCAAAACCTGCCATCCCGGCAGTCTCGGGGAACAAAGGCACGAAGAAGGATAGATCTACACACACACAAAAAAAAAATACACCGAAAGCATGGCAAGGAGGCATCCTTCCTTGCGTAGGGCGCGGAGGGATGTGGGCGTTGCAAACGCATGCCATTCTGCAGCAGAATATTGCGGACTGCAGTACATGTGCAAACACAGCAGCGTACCGTAGTCTGTCCTGGAGAGAAACAACGGCAGGTGTGTCGAATACATCAATGCACTAGACTATAGCACCAGAAGTATAATTACCAGTAAACTGTGAGCAGTGGAGATTTCTCTGAAAATAGAAAAGTCCTTGCAGGTTAGTCAGTCCACGACCGGACACACGCTCGTGTCTCTTGAGCAATATCGCGTCTCTACAGAAGAAGCGCATAGAGCTGTGTGCAAAAACGTGTAGGGACTGAAAAGCGTGAGATCGGTTCAAAGCGAGCGTTTGCAGCCACCCTACGGGATCTGTGCTTCTATGAATGCCCAAGCGGAATGCTTCCGCTTCCGCCACGAATGCCTGCGGCCCGGCCGTCTCCTCCCGCCGGGGAAAGCCCTGCCTCCGGGGGTCACCACTCTCGTCTCTGATACTGTTAGCGATGGTGCCATGCCCTCCGCGAGTCCGTGCGCCCCGGCCATCTCCCCCTGTCAGCCTATCGGGGAGAACTACTTGAGGCGTTTTTCGTGCCATTCTTTCCCGGTAGATCTTTATTTTAGTATCCTATCATCGTAGGTTTTCTTCTGATTTAGTTCTTTAGCCTGGTCATCGTCGGCACCATACAGTTGTTTCAGGGTCTTCATTGCGGTCTGGATGCCTTCATTCTTCAGTCACTTCGTTTTTGCTGTGTTCGTCCTCGAGCAGTTGCCGCTTCCCGAAAAACACCCAAGGAAAGCTTCATACATGCAACGCCGACGAGACTCGTCGAGGAGTTGCACATCAATATTGCATTGAGCATGACGATAATCCTCAGACGGAACCCACGATATACCATTTTTACTGCGAGAGCCTTTGCCATGACGTCGATGACTCGAATTGGACTATCTACCCAGGCCCCCATCAGCGTGCACATGGACGACCATCATCGTGTCGAGAAGAAGAGCGGGATCCATCACAGGTAAACGCCGACGGTACCGATCTTGGTGCAAACATCGTTGAGCATTGGGAGTTGAGCACAAGGCACGCATGCTCAAACACTAGACGTTCAGTGTGACAGGCATCAAATATCAACACTCCATGCTTCATACAACCAACACTGACGAGACTAGACTGAATATACGGCGATGCCTGTCTCGGCTTCCTCTTGCCTGATCGGTGCCTTGCAACCTCTGAAACCACATCATCGTCGTGTGATGACTCGTGTCCCTTTCCCGCATCTTTGGTACCACGTCGTCAACAGGGTTCGTCATCTGCATCATCGGACATGCCTGACTCGCTGCGCTGCTGGACGGAAGCACGTCCGACGTTGACGGGACGTACAAACGCGAGGGAAATTATCGTATTTCTAGCCGCAGGTTGGTGAAGATACGTCATGTTTTGTTCCCTGATTCCCTTCCATTTGTACCATGTGGTCGTTTTATCTTCTTGCGCCCCTCCGTGATAACTCATGTACCCCGTGCAAACCGAGACGCCTGGAGTCAAACTGAGCTCACGCTTTGCTGAAGTAGTGACGGACCAATGGACTTGATTTGGCGCGTGTCTCCACAATGTAGGTAGTCTCTAGACTCTGGCTCTCCTCCTCGATTTAAGAGCGTCAAAATATTGCATTGCTGGGGGAAACTGACGAAGGCACACACTCACGACAAGTATGTCGGGGAACGCATAGTGGACACCCCCTTCTTTGTTGTGTAGGACTTTCTTGTGGGGATGCCCTGTAGGGCAAGGGATATGAATGGGCAGGCTACGTACACCCATAAAATCATTTTCTGTTAAGACAACAAACTACTGAGGTTGAGCAACCAAAGAATCGTACGGGGGAACGAAGACATCGAACATGTTAAGGTTTCGACAACGTCATAAATGTTGCCCGCCAGTAAAAGCACGCACAATAGGCTGTAAAGAAGCGAGCAGACTCATCGCCACCGGGTGGTTGGCCGGAGAAGTATTTCTTCTCTGTCTTGCGCGAGAGCTAGGGGTTAAGGCGCAACCGAAATATAGTGCTCTAGGGTGGAGGAGGTGGCCGCTGGAAGGTCTCATCTCTCCAACGCCTATCGATATCGATAGCCTCTTGCAACTTTTCAGGTGTGCATAACGCGCCCAGTTCTCAAACTACCTTCCTGGCTAGCCCCACCCTAACCTAATATTTTCTGCTTCTCGGCACGTCTTTATGTTTGTCGAACGATTTGAGCGCGTGCATTATTCCATTCGGTTTCTCCTGTGAGTGAAACAGACGCCGTAAACAAATAATTGGCGAAGTTCTCACAATATTATTAAAGGGCTTCCGGGTGGTTGGGCATGGATGCGTTGAACGAGGGGAGTTCACGTGTCTTGGGGGATGCCTGTGCCGCAGACGAAGTTCAGAGTAGCGGCTACAATAAAAGCTGGCG